AATTGTCATCACGAATGATACTGGGTTATATTTTATAAGTGAGGAATCACAGAGTAATTTGATATACATACCCATACGTATATATTATCAGGTCTTTTGATGCTTTACTTCCCTGCTTCAAGGTTAAGTTCTCAGTGCAAAATTGTAGCTGATCATGACTAACTTGTGATTGCGGATCAACACTAGGGGTACAGTTGATCGCACGCGCAGGTATAGTTTTGCAACTATTTATTCGTTGGGATCATTATTATGATATAGAATGCCCGTCAATTTTGACACTTCGCACCTCCTTTAATCCTTTGCGAACAGCGACAACTTCCTCATAATAGGTACTCGATAGAATTAATTGCTGATGGGTTTTGTAGATGGAAATTTCGAATGTCACTTTTATACATTTTTTTATACCTAACCGGCCCTAACCAGGAGCAGTTGAGAAAAATTCCAACAATTGCCCAAAATCCTCTACATTGGCATCGCCTTAGTATATACACATGGACTTGCGGTTTGAGTTCGACAACTGGATTCTATAGCTCAGTTGGTTAGAGCGCTTCGAGATTGGCGTATTCATACTGCCTGCGTTTCAGTTTTGATCATTTCGACTAAAATAGAGTGATATGTAAACGACATATCACACCTGCTCGTGTGACAGCGAAAGGCCTGCTTAAATTACTTCCGATCTATGCTTTGCCGTTAGTTCCGATCCGATCTATGCTTTGCTGTTAGTTCCGATCCGATCTATGCTTTGCAACTTTTTGTTTGTTTTTCTTTTGGAATTGGATCAAAAAGGTGGTTGCAGGTATTCAGATCCTGGAATGCTGCAAAATGGCCCTGCTGACCTGTTGGGACATTTTATTGGGTGAACATCAAATGATGTGAGGAGTGAAATGAAATTTCGATTCAATGTGACTGATAGAGTTGGAATGGTATAGATAATGATAATTTTAGTGAATTATGTTATGATGATGCATGGACTGTGATGATGTTGGTGAAGCTTGATTTATAACATAGATATAAAGTGATGATACTGGTGATATATGAGTTGTAAAATGATATGAAATATAAGTGATACATAAGTCTGAACATTCAAGCTAAATAGGGCTCATAGTATTATGCCCGAAGGCAGTGCTCGTTAATTAAAACAATCTATTATGCTCGTGAAACAGCCTATTATGTTCGAATTATGCTCGAGAAAAATTCAATTTTAATAAGTAGAAAAATGTTCAAACAAGCCAGATCTGACTATCTGAGTGGAACCTCTCTACAGTCAAAGCATTTATAACTAATTCATTGTTTTAACTCTCGTGACAAAACTCATTGTTTTACTAGTGCCCAGGATCCTGGCCTGTGCTATAGTCTCATTTATTTTTTTATTTCTTTAGACTCTAGCCCCAAAGCCAAAGCATTATTTTATTAATTTTGAATTGCTCGAAAACGGCTAATTATGCCGACTATCCTCGTATAAAGCCCCGTTTACACGATCAATTTTTATGTGACAATTTTTCATATTTTTATGTGAGAAATGTATTTAATTGGTCGTGTAGATGAGACAACAATTAAATAATTGTTGATGCACTTGATTCCTGTTTAAAAATATCTATGAACAGCGCAACAAAACATGGCGCGGACACTAATTATACTTTTACAAATATGGTGGGAGAAAAAATATGACATTTTATGTGACAAGTAATCTACACGAGCAATTTTTCGTATGTGACAACTTTTATTTGTCATATAAAAGATAACGCGCTAGCTTTTCAGCAACTGTATTTGCCACACAAAAATTGCCCAAAGTGTCTATTATGCTTCTGAAGCCCTATTATGCTCGAAATTATGCCACATAATTTACCCAAGCCTAGCCTGTAATCCATTAAGTTTCAGATTGTCCGGAACAAGCGGTAGGAAGACATTCTGCCCTTAAAATAGAACCCTTCAAATGAATTAAATCTTCATTCAGACAAAACTTTCCCTGTAAAATTTGCCAGAATTTTAGTATCGAAGCACACTTACTCGGCTAAGTTGAATGCACTTAATTAAACAAATGAGTTAACTTTCGGTGCTATAAATATAACTCATGTTATAATAAGTATTTTAATAAGTTTTGTCGCTCTCCAATACCCTCGCTTCAAGTGACAAAAAATTCGTTTTGATATAGATATATTTCCTGACCTTCGGCATATTTTGACCCACGACCTTTAGCCAAGCTCATTAATTAATCACCCATTGTGAGGAAGGATTAAAAAGGATTAAAGGAGGTGCGATCTAGCGAAGTGTCAAAATGGACGGGCATTCTATACAGGGTGTATAAAAAAAACGCAACCTCGGAATTTCCCAAGAAAACGACATGGTTTTAAAGACAAAATATTTTAGGCGCCTGGGAATTTAAAATAGCACAACTGTCAAAATTATTGCACACGCGAGTGCATAAAGCAAAATTTATGCATTTATTTAATGCACAACAACAGTAATATAATCTATTAGCAATTCGATTTTAATTCCCAGGGGCTTAAAATTAGGAAATTCCGAGGTTGCGTTTTTTTTATACAAACCGTATCGGTTAGGTGGAAAACGCGGACAGGTATAGGTATAAAAAATGTATAAAAGTGACATTCGAAATTTCCATCTACAAAACCCATCAGCAATTAATTCTATCGAGTACCTATTATGAGGAAGTTGTCGCTGTTCGCAAAGGATTAAAGGAGGTGCGAAGTGTCAAAATGGACGGGCATTCTATATCATAATAATGATCCCGACGAATAAATAGTTGCAAAACTATACCTGCGCGTGCGATCAACTGTACCCCTAGTGTTGATCCGCAATCACAAGTTAGTCATGATCAGCTACAATTTTGCACTGAGAACTTAACCTTGAAGCAGGGAAGTAAAGCATCAAAAGACCTGATAATATATACGTATGGGTATGTATATCAAATTACTCTGTGATTCCTCACTTATAAAATATAACCCAGTATCATTCGTGATGACAATTAAAACATATGTAGTTGAAACTTGAATATATGAAAACGTTTTCTGAATTGCCGTTGTTTTGTATTTTGTAAAGATTCTGAGTGGATTTTTCAGAATCTTCAATACTGTAAGTAAAATACATGGAATTGATTGTGTAATTATGACATCACACCTGCAGATATAGCTTTCTGAATGTAAATATGACATCAATTCTGCAGAAAACGAGCTTCTTTACATGCAGAACATATAAAGCCATGGCCCATGGCGAGATTTGTTTTTGTAACTAAAAAAAGAAGCGAAATACACTAAACGAGCTGACAAACTAAGACAGAGAAAAGAGAGAGAAAAACACAACCTCGGCATTGATAACTTTCAATATCACGCGAAAATTATTAATTATTGTCGTAATAGATTTTTTGAAGTTTAGTAAATTTCGTGTCCGCATGTCCGCGTTTTCCACTTGACTTGCGTGTCCGCGTGTCCGCGTCCGCATGTCCGCGTTTTCCACTTGACTGGCGTGTCCGCGTGTCCGCATGTCCGCATGTCCGCGTGTCCGCATGTCCGCATGTCCACTTGACTGGCGTGTCCGCATGTCCGCATGTCCGCGTGTCCGCATGTCCGCGTTTTCCACCTAACCAATGGCATGTGATAAAAACGAAACATACTTGCAGGTTCGGTGAGTATGGCGGATTGGACGCACCTCGGGTGGCCCGAACCTTCCAGCCACCCTAGCTCGCTGCGTCCAATCCCGGACTCACCTCCCTGCAAGTATGTTTGTTATATTATTCCATAGCGTTCTAATTTAGAGAGAAGTATCTCATGGTCCACTGTGTCAAAAGCCTTTTTAAGATCTAAGTCTAAGAATAATATGCCGCTAATCAAACCCTTGTCCATGTTTACGAGTAATTGGTTTGTGGTATGAAGCAGTGTAGTTTCTGTTGAATGTCGACTATATTCTGATTAAGAAAGTTGTTTAGTTGACTGTAAACAATCTTTTTGAATGCTTTTACCGGCCACGGCCGATACCACAGATATAGGTCTGTAGTTATACTACAGTCAGATTTCTCACCTGTTTTGTAAATAGGGGTAACTTTGGCAAATTTCATTTCGTCTGGGAAAATTCCGGTACTATAAACGATAGATTAAATATATCGGCAAGTGACTCGACAATTGTGTTTCCTGCGGCTTTTAAGAGTTGGTTCGAAATTTTGTCAAAACCAGATGTTTTACAGGCTTATAGTTGGCTTCCGTTAATACTCTCTCTAATTCTGAATAGGTTATATTCTTCAATTCAAAGACCTTGGATGCAGGTGTTACACGTACAGCTAAGGGGATCAAAATCAGTTGATGTAATACTAATATCGTTCGCTATATTCTATAACCTTGGTCCTATTATAGAAAAAAGTTATTGAATTCGTTTGCTATGTTCATGTCACCAGTTACTTTACTGCCGTTCGTAGTGTACCTCATTAGTTTGCGTGCATTTGGATTGCTTATTTGGAAGTTCGTTAATAACTTTCCAGCAATCCTTGGCATTATTACTATTTTCTATTAATTTATATGGTAGTAGGCTTTTGCTTCCTTAATTACGCGATTTACCTGATTTCTGCAACATTTTTTCGATTCATGAAATGTTGCAGATTTAAGACTAATTGCTTTTTTCTTTAGATAATCTCTATGGTAACTCATAGTTTTGATTTCATTAGTTAGCCATGGTTTGTATTCGCTTTTGACTTTTCGTCGCCTGACTGGTGCATAAAGATCAGCAATTTCAAGGAAAATTTCTTTCCAAGTTTACCATGCTATGTTTGGGTCTGTATAGCTTGAAAAAGAACTAAACGCATTACTTACATCATGCTGAAATTGAGCCACATTAAAATGTTTAAATTGTCTTGTTTCGACAAATTAAGTCCAACAAAGTTTTGGTGGTAATGGTAACCCTTGTCGGACACTGTATATGCTGTTGTAATTGATAATATAATTGATATAAAACCCGTGCTACGTCGAAAGCTAGATACCGTTATTCTACATGTGGGAATGAACAACGCCACTAACAAAGAAGCAAGCGAGATAGTTAATGACATCGACAAATTATGCCAAGAGGTCAAACAAATTGATCCCAACGTTGAAATAATATTGTCTGAATTGACCAACAGAGAGAACAATGCAAAGGCCAAAACAACTGTTCAAGAGGTAAATCGTTTGTTAGCAGATTACTGTACTGCGACTAATTTAAATTTAATTATACATAACAACAATATCCTCAGTAAGTCGCTTAACAGATCCAAATTGCATCTGAATAAGTTAGGATCTTCTACTTTAGCTAAAAACTTTATTAGTTATTTACATAATTTTTAGCCTAGGTAAAGTTCCAACTTTTTACAGCAAAATTTCCGATACCGAACCAAAACAGCCGAGTTGCTCCATTGAGAAGATTATTCCACAAACAAAGTGTGAAAATAGCATTACATTTTTATAATCTTTGAAGGGATTTAGAGTTGGGCATTTAAACATCGCTTCGTTAGTCAAGCATGTTGATGAATTAAAAATATACTTGGAAAAAGAACCACTGGATGTTTTGAGCATTAACGAAACTCGTTTGGATGAAACAATTAGTACAGATACTGTTAGTATACCCGGTTACGACATGGTTGCCAAAAATCGTAATCGGCAAGATTATCTCAAGAAGAAAGCTATTAAGACAAACTCAACTGCATGCCACAATGCTTACGGAAGTCTTCGAAATGAGATTAACAAAAAAATTGTGTATGCAAAGCAAGATTATTATACAAACTGTGTTGACAGAAACAGAAATAATACAAAGCAAATGTGGAAACATATTAATCAGTTAGTTAATAAAAATTCTAGATCAACAAATATATCAGTACTACAAATAGACGAACAGGTTATTACTGAAAATGAAACTATAGCTGATTTGTTCAATGAATATTTTACTGATATAGGACCAAATCTGTCGAACCAGATCACGGAAACTAACACTGATTTTAAACGTTATATGAAATTTAAAACTCAACATAAGTTCAATTTCGAAAACATTAATATCAATGAAGTGTTAAATGCACTTGAGAAATTTTAAAGACGTCTAAGTCAACTGGACATGATAATATCCCAGCCAAACTTTTGAAAGATGCGAGTGATGCCGTGGCGCCTTTTTTAGTATTTATTTTTAATACTTCACTCAAACATGGAATTTTCCCTGATGATCTTAAGACTGCAAGAATTTCTCCAATTCATAAATCTGGTGACAAAAAAAATCGAGGCAATTATAGACCGATTTCCATTCTTTCGATTATTGCTAAGTTATTTGAGAAACTTGTCTGTACACAGCTCAATTCCTTTTTAACTGAAAATAATATTCTGAGTTCGTGTCAGTTTGATTTCCGTAAAAATTATTCCGCCGCATCAGCCCTTTTAGCAAATACGGATTCATGGTTACTTAACATGGATGCTGGGATGATAAATGGAGTACTTTTTCTGGACTTATGTAAAGCATTTGATACGGTTGATCACGGAATTCTCCTAGGTAAATTATCTATCTATGGAATCCAAAATAAGGCCTTAGATTGGTTTAAATCTTATTTGCATAACAGAACGCAATACTGCAGGGTGAACAGTGCAACATCGTCCACCAGGAAAATACGTTGTGGGGTTCCCCAGGGATCGAACCTTGGTCCCCTTTTGTTTTTATTATACGTCAATGACCTACAACATCAGTAAAAAGGTCAACGAAGGGCATTGGTATGCTGCGCCGTGCAAAGCCATTTGTCTCTCTTGAAACTCTTAAATATATTTATCAGGCTTTAGTGCAACCGAGTTTTGATTACTGCTCCATGGTTTGGGGAAACTGTGGCGAAGGCTCAAAAGAAAAGCTACAGAGACTACAAAACCGTGCAGCTAGAGTAATCACAGGTGATACCTATGAAATTCGCTCCACGGATATTTTAAAGAAATTAAATTGGAAAACACTCGAAGAGAGAAGAAAGGAGCAAAAATTAGCATGTGTGGCCAAAGCCCTTTCAAACCAATGTCCTGAAAACGTTTTAACTATGTTTAAAATCTCAAATTCTGATAAATATAATTTAAGAAGTAATAACAAGATGCTGATGTTGTCGAAGCCTAAAACAAATTCAATG